CCCCAAAACCCCAAAACCCCAAAACCCCAAAACCCCTGGGCAGAGTGGGTATATTGATTATTGTAAGTTGATTTTGTGGAAATAAATGGAGTTTATAAAATAGAGTAATGATCACAGTGGAATCTAAGAGCAATCAAAGGAATTTTATTTAGTTTGAGGTCGTCATTTTACTTTTGTAACGATGCTTATGGAGGAAGAATAAATAAATCGATTACCCTTAGATTCCATTTTCCTGTTTCGTATGTTTAGGATTTTAGTCTCTATAATTTTAATTCAATTGTAAACTTCTTCTAAATAAATTTGAAGTAGAAATGTATTTGGTGTAAGCAAATTTTAAAATTATGTATGAATAGTTTTGAATATTAGAAAAACAAACTCAATTTAAAATTTGAATATCTAATAAGCTCTCTTCTTAGCTTCACTGAGAGTTCTGAAAGTTCCTTCACTAGAAGCAGATCTATTATGTATACCCGATCCTTGACTAAAATTCGCATAACTTGACTTCTGCGGATTCCATTTTGAATACAAAATCTTCGGCTCTATACAATCAAGACTGGAATTCTGCAAATCTGTTCGTCTCATCTTCATAGTGTTCATTCCTATAGTAGCTGAAGCTAGGTTTTTCCGATTTTTTATGCGTAGGATGTTAGGGGTCTTGTCTAGAGTTGGGATTCCGAGGGTTCCAGGGACGGCAATGAATTTTGTATCTGAGCAGAATGATTTGTTCGTCTTGGCCTGGATTTTGAGAGAGTTTAGGTTTGTGTGAGGGTCTTCTGAGCAGAGAGATTTTAGTTTTCTATTGAAGAGGATATCGATGTCATCTAATATTTGTCCCTTTCTGCTCTTGAGAGCCTTATGGTCGGTTTGTTGGCCATTAATGGTTAACTTATCTCCTTCATGGCCAATTCATATCCTTTTAAAAGGAGACAACACTACTGAGTTGAACTGTTTGCAGTTCTTTTGATTATCTAGATCTTCCACTTTCAAGCCAAGCATATCATTAATTTGTAGCAAATCTATAATAATTCTTCTAGCTTACTTATCAAATTCTTTAAGAGGTCAGCCACAGATGTAATATTATCTTTAGTCCCTAATGAATTCTGGTTAATTTCTGAGATTTGTTTTGAAATCTTTTCAAATTTTATTTCAAAATCATTTCTATCTCTAATCCTTCTTTTTGTTTCTTCTTTGAGGTGAACAAGAAGATCTTCAGTGTTTTGTTTCACAAGCTTTTCTGTGGTTTCTTGGTAATCTGTAAATTTCTTCGATGCGCTTTTGATATCAATCGAGAGCTAAAAGTAAATTTTTGGGAATACTTCATTGGTTTTTAGGGAAACAAAGTCCTCATACTGCTTCTTGATTTCTTCATCTCTTTTCTTGTTCTCTACAATAAGCTCTTGCTTCAAGTTGTTATTGTACATGTCGGTCATTGTATGCAATTTCTTTGGGCTTTGGAGTGAACTTTCCTCAATAGTTGGCCTTCTCACAAGATTGAGTCTTTTCATAGTGGCTCTACTTACGGTAGACTGCTCTAAAATTGAAGCTGCTTCTTCATCAGAGTCATCTGATTCTGAGCTTTCTTCAATATTATAGCTTGGACCAAAAGAATTGCTTTTTGATTCTTCTATGTCTGTATGAGAGTCTTCCTTCTGCTCTGCGGATTCCTTAATTACCTCAAATTCAGGCTCTAAGGTTTTTAGATCCGACCTGAGAGTATTCTGAGATGGAGAAGGAACCTCTTCTTCCTTTTTAAGAGCTATCTCCTTGCTTAAAGCGTCTATAGATCCGAGTGACTTTCCCTCTATACTATCAGCTAGGCTACCTTACTTTGTATGATCCCTTGAATGACTGGCTTCTTAGACTGTCTCTTGGGCTTCATTGGGAAGATTTTTATCAGAGGTACTTTTGTTTCCTCTTTCTCCTTGACACTATCTCTTTCTCACTGGATGAGCTTCAGATTCATTGACCTCATGCTGCTTGATGGACTCTGATTTGAGGCAGATTTATTAGAAGGATCTTGGCTACTAGATGAGATTTCTTCATTAACAAAGGGGTTAATATTCTGCTTCTCCCGTCATTGTGGAGAAGAATTACGAGAATTAGCTGATTTATTTCCATCAATCTTCTCTTCCTCTTCTATTCTTGCCGGTTTGTCAGAACTTTGACGGTGAATCTTTATTTTTAAATTTGGTGTCAGATGGCTATAAAGATAAATAGTTCTAGATGCACATACTTCTGATCAAGCTCAGTGATCGTGTTCTCTTTTAATAACTTCCTCTTGTTATTTTGAAGAGAATAATCTTTGACTAATTGGGAAATTGTGAAATTTTTATTACTGCTTCCTGATCTTTGGTCATCTTCTGTAGAGTTATGAGGTGAAAATACCGTTAAAAGTGACCTTTTTGGCTAGCTTGTTTAATGGAGCAGGCAAGGTCTTGACTCTGGAAATATTATTAGAACTTTCGCTTTCCTGAACACTTTCGTTATCTAGAGCGATTTCTCGATTGCTACTTTTAGATTCTTCCTTAATGTAATCTTGATGCTCTTTGAATTGCACCTCTTTGCTTTCCATTTGTTGCTGAATTTGGTTTAAATTTTCGCTTTCATTCTTATATTGAGAGGTTTCTTTCTGCTCAGCTTTACTGGTCACTTGTTGGTAAGAAGTAGAAACGCTTGAGAGGACCTTGTCTAGTTGCATTTCTTCATCTTTGATCTGAGGTTCTATTGAAGGCATGTAGTTGAAGTCATCCCCAAAATCTTCAGGCTGCATATCACTCTTTGCCTCTTTTAACTCGACATTAGCTATTTTTTTTGAAGAAGGATATTTATCATCATTATTTTCACTTCCCTCTTGACTATCCCAATTACTTTGTGGAGATTTGCGAACCATCCTCTCCAACCCTATTCTTGGAATGAACTTAGTCCTTGATTTAAGCTTAGGAGATACCTTAGGTGACTTCTTCGATCTCTTAGATTTCAGTTTTAACTGCTTAAGGAGTTCAGGAAATGTTAACTCAGAGTACTTGAATCCTGTCACTTTTTCTTTAGTTAATTCCTTGCTAGAGGTAGGCCATCCTGTATCCTTATCTATGTTTTCATTATACTCAGTTATTTTGTAGTCCATATATTCCATTAATTTCTCTCTAACATTTCTAGAGGCGATTGTGTAATCGAGGAGTTCCCCAAAAGCAGTGGTGTATTGTAGAGGGAGCTGCTTTTCAATATAATTATCTGTTTTCCTCAGCTCTTGCTCAACCTCTTCAATATGATTAGATAAAATCTTAATATCATGGGAAGTATCCTTCTTGAGTATCTCAGCAGATAACTGGACTAATTTCTCTATAGCTGCAGGACCAGAGGCATTAAATGATTTCTCAAATACGTTTTTGAAGTTTATAAGATCTACTAAATTAGTTTCATCTTCTTGCATTTTTTGTTTGATTACCTCAATATCTACTATCATTCGGTCTATTTCTTTCTTCTTATTTTCCATAATTGTTGAATCATAAGAATTTTTAAGTTTAAGTTTATCAAATTCAGATTGTAGGTCTGTTGCATAATCTGTAATATACGTCTTAGCAACTGCTATTTCTTTGTTATAGTATGTTTTATGCTCCATTACAGTTTCTTGGACTTTTTCAAGTTCATTCTTAATCACTTTTGTCATAATGTCAACATCGTTAGTAGTCGATGAAAACTCCTTGATATTCTGTTTGAAATTCTCAATATCACTGCGAACCTTAGCACTTTCCTCTTGACTGACAATATAATGACTCCTGACTTGTTGCTTTAGAGTGAAGAGACTATCCTTGAAATCTGTGAAAAACCTCTGTTTCTTTTCAAGCTGATACATATTTTCATCTATTTCTTCGTTATTTACGTTCAAGTGCTGCTATTTTCGTTTCTTGGTATCTGGCGAATTCATCTGTCTGTTTTATATCAAGGTGAGTACCGGCCCAAGTCTGGAGGTGATATAATCATGGAGCTTAGTTTCAAAGGCGAACCATTCTTGATCCTTGTGTAGCATAGAGACACTTGACATAATAATATATCGACAACTGAAATCTCAATTTTATTTTTTAAGTTAGGGGTTTTGGGGTTTTGGGGTTTTGGGGTTTTGGGG